GCAACAAATTATATGTATGAAAGAAGATCAAAGGAATTTAAAACTACTAAGGTGAATATTGATTTTCACTTAATTCTATTCCGAGTATTGTTTATTAGTTTTTGATAATCATTTTAAATTGGTTCAAAAGTAAGTGGGAAACAACCTAAAATCACTACAAGCTCCTCCCGATGTAATTGTCACTATTCTAATCTGGTATATCATTACTTATCTTCCAATAGCGCAATCAAATATGAATTAATTCACGTACAGATTTTACCTGGTTTTTTTGCGAGAGTAAATTCCATAACCTTAAAGGATCATTAACTTATGAAAACCCCCACAAGAGTCCAAAATCCCTATAGCTTCCACAATCAAAGTAATTATTCTCATGATTTTATTACCTTTTTCGATCAAACACACCACTTCTAGCCGATAGTGATCAATGAAATAAATCAATCCAGGGGATAAACTCTGCCTGGAAGCTTTAAGTTCAAATAATAAAATTATAGCAATTGAACAAGGGAAAAGCAAAATCTATATATAATTGGAATCGATAAAGCTTACAAATCAATCCCTAGTATGAGAGTTTAGCTCGACATATCGTAATTAAATAAAACTCAGTTAATACTTGAATAAAAAACTTCATAATCAATATGAATAATGAAAAAGAAAAGAACAAAGTTTTAAGAGTTTTAGAAATAACTAGACAACAGCTATGTGGTGGCTTCTTTGAATCTTGCACAAATCCCTTGGCTGTCGCTTTGATATGATCAATTTAGAGAGAGAGAAGAACTATGTTAGAAAAATACTACGAATTCGAAGATGAATTTTAGCAATGAAATAAGCTCCCTCTTTAATTAAGCCCTCCTGGAGGAAGAAATCTAATTCCGTTTAGGAAATCGATCCTATTAAGTACGTAAATCTTCTTTGGAGATCATAACTGATATAGGCATTGGGATTTCCTCACTTAGTCACGGACTCTTTCTCTCTTACTAAATAGGTTTTTAAGATACTTGGTTTGGCACGTTTTAGGAATATATTTGAGGCGCGGCCCCCTTGTAGAAGAAAAAGAGATTGGAATTGCATTTTTAGATTCATAGATCGTTCAAGTCAGCTCTGCCTTCGTGGCACGGTCGTGCCATCGAGCACGGCTTGGGCATGCTAGAGTCTGGATCTATGAATGATTTAGCACGGGTCGTGCTCTACAACACTCTCAGAGGAGTCTTTGTGGCACGGGCGTGCTCCCTAGCACGCCTAGGGCATGCTAGGCTCTGACCTTCCAAGATAGATTTCATCATGGGCGTGCTAGGCAAACACGCCCTGAGGTTCTTTTGGGCACGGGCGTGTCGTGCTAGCCCCTGACTCTCCACTTGATTTCTCTTAGTTTTAGCACGGGCGTGTTATGGTGCACGGGCTGGGTGTGCTCGAGCCTGAGTATTTTGCTTTGTAATGTTCTTTTCTGTGCCAAAACCCTGCAAATTTCTTTCAGATCAAGTGAATTATGATTCAAGGAAGCTCAAGGAAGCCTTGACAAAAAGTTATACTTAAAATGAATGAAAAAAATAAATTAAAGGTTGATAAAATTACTAAAAATTCTAATAAACTATTAACTAAAAATACTGTAAAAAAAATGACCCATATCAAAATTCCCAAAACTTAAACCATTGCTTGTCCTCAAGCAACAAAACTAAAAAATAAGAGAAACAAAAATAAACTTTACAAAAAAACTAGTTACTATAGTTGGAGACAAATTATTCATAAACTCAAAAAGATATCACAAAAGATATCACAATCATTAATATGTGAGTAAATCAATTGTTTTCCATGCTAATTATATTTAAGCGAAAATTCAATTTTTGATAAAGCACATTTCTTGATTTAAATATAAGTTAAAAAGATTCTCAACACTAATAAATATTCAACTTATGACAACTAGGATATGAATAATCTACAAAGATTATTTAACCTTTTTAAATAAGATGTTTAATAGTACAAATTCAGCATTCCCCTATGCAAAATTAGTCATCCCTTCTCCACAATTGAAATGCTTACGATTTAAAAGATTAAAAGGTCTTTATTTTGGGTTGTAATGGGGTTTTCGGGGTATAAATTTAGCTAATCAAAGAAAAATGATAAAAGATATACAAAGAGTACAAAGGAATGTATAATATCCAGATTTTCTGTAACATCCTACTGAATCGAATCATTGCATATACATGAGTCGAGTCGGGTCGAACTAGAAACCGGTTAACGCCAGAGTGGGGTAAAATGGGATGTACCATAAATAAGTAAAAGAAGTGGACAAGAAAGTGGACTTACTTGAAAGTGAAACAAAAAGATCAAAAGTATAAGGAGGAGGACTTACTTGCACTAAAAAGAAAGTTTGGTATTAAAACGTAACATATGGAAAATTTAGGTACTATTTGGTAATTTTTAACAACAACAATTCAAAGATATATTTAGACTTTAACACGAGACTTCCAATTTTCAGTTTTGCTTTCTTCATTTTCTTTCATCTTCATCTTCAACGTCTTCTTCTTCAATCATCTTCAACGTCTTCTTCTTCATCTCCATCTTCCTCTTCATCTCCTCTTATCTTTCTCTTCATCTCCTTCCTTTCTCCATCACTTTTCATGTGATTTAAATACTAAATTCAACCTAGAACTCTATCCAAGTAAGTAGCCTTTCTTAAATTTCATACTTTTGTGATATTTTAGATGATTTATAAGAGTTATGATGTAAAGGAGAGGGGAGCTCAAAGTTGGAGGAAAAGGAAGCTAAGAAGAAGATTTAAAGCTCTTTTGGTTGAAGGTTTGATATCTCTTTTAGTTTTTCACATTTTCTTTCATGAACACTTCTGTAGTGTGTGGATAATGCAAAGATATGTTGCTGAATGTTGAATTAGAGGTCTGTAAATGGTGATAAAGCATGGGATGAATTGAATGGATGAATTGAATGAATGAAGTAGACATTGAATTCATGCTAAACCAGGTTTGTTGGATCACTGACTAGTAACTTAACCCTGATTTTGACTCTGTTTAACGATGGAATTAGGGAGTGTTATAGAAGAGTTATTTGTTCCTCAGCGTTATTTGTTCTCTATGGTTTTAGGCTATCCATGAGTTTTTTTGGGAAGTACCTAATTTATTGGAGTTATAAATTCCGAGAGATATGCCAAAATAGTACAACTGGATGCAGGCCCCCTTTGGTAAACCACCAGTCGGGCAGGACCTGGACGTTGCTCATTTTAGGTTAAATCCATTTTGAGCTATACCTTACCAACGTCATTAAGGGAGATGTGGTGGGGTAAGATAGACCAACTTTTGTAACCGCTATATGTGTTAGCTACCATAGAGATTCCAAAAATCACTTAAATTGGAGTTATAAATTGAGAATATGGTAGCAGAAAATAGTATAAAACCTGTGCAGGCTGGGAGACCCAAGGCAACAAGCAAACCCAACAGCAGGGCAGACTGACAGTTGCTACTTGAGCTCAATGTTTGACTACCTTACCAACGTAATTAAGAGATGTGGCAGAAGAAAAATTTGTAGCCTAATGTGTTAGCTAACCATATAATTCAGAATCACTTAAATTGGAGTTATAAATTGAGATCTGTGACCAAAAGAGTATAACCTATGCAGGCTGGAACCCAACAGCAGGGCAGACTGACCGTTGCTACTTGAGCTCAATGTTTGACTACCTTACCAACGTAATTAAGAGATGTGGTAGAAGACCAATTTGTAGCCTAATGTGTTAGCTAACCATATTTGTAAGCCTAATGTGTTAGCTAACATGATAATAGTATAATGAATCACCTAAAGTGGAGTTATAAATTGAGAGATATGACCAAAATAGTATAAACTGGGCAGGCTAGAAACCAACAGCAGGGCAGACTGGCAGTTGCTACTTGAGGTCAATATGTGACTACCTTGCCAACGTAATTAAGAGATGTGATAGAAGAAAACTTTGTACATTAAGATGTTAGCTAACCATAGAATTTAATATAACCTAAATTGGACGTATACAGAAAGAGTTATGCTAGGATTTGTGAAATATGTACAGGCTGTCTGGCAGATTTCAAGAACACATTAGAAATGATGTTGGAATGCATATGTAGTAACCCTAAAATTATTACTGCATTTTACCTTCTAAGTGAACTTAAATTCAAACTAAGAATTTCCTTAATCTGAATGGTAAAAATTTAGTTACATAAATATTAGTAAGAATTGCATCACGGGTGCAATAGCTAGAGTATTTCCATGCAAGTTACTTTATACATTATCAATGGTATGCATTATTCCTCATTAGATAGTTTCTAAATAATTCTTGTATTATCACAATACACATAATATGCTCCATTAAGGTTAGCCAGAAACCACGTAGATAAGACTATGTCATGACATAGGATAGCAGATCTGCGCCCCATACAGTTTGGTACTCCAGCTATAGGCTGTTGAGTGGATATGATTTATGAGTGGATATGAATTTATATACCGGGCCATAACAAAGCCCAGCATACAGTATTCATCCCAGTTTTCATACAGTTCATACAGTTCTTCTTATCACTTTGGTTTCAACTAACATACTAGAAGATATATTTGGAGGTTACTTGAAAATTCCATTCACTTTACCTACTCCATCTTCTCCTTTGTCTTCTTCCTTCACTTTACCTTCTCCATCTTCTCCTAAAAATGAAAGAATAATGATATGTGTGCTTACATGCTTATTTATTTAATTCTTATTAAATTGAGATATCCACTGAACTTTATTTGCTCAGCAAATTAACTGTTTTAACTAGCAGATTTTGGGTCTGGACCGTAGAGAGTCATCTTTACAATTGCTGCAGTTCATCTTTTGAAGACCCAATCTTAACTACTCATTTTGATATTTTGGTTCTGTGGCATGTTAACATCCTACTGAATCGAATCGTTTATCATGGCATGTACAGGGCACACAGTTGGGCCCATTTCATTTTGAAAATTAGTATCATGTCTTGTAAAAATATTAAGTACATATCTGTAAAAAGCAACAGCTTGACATCATAATCAGCATACAACATGATATTAGCATGAAAGGACATAGGTTCAATGATATTAGCATGAAAGGACATAGGTTCAACCAGATTGTAGCGTCTCAGCTCGGTTCATTTGAGTTAACGGGTGAACCGGGAAGGGATGTTACATTTTCATTATACCAAAACTATTTGTTTAAGGGAGTTTATGTCTTGAAATTCTTCACTAGCTCATGACTGGAGATATTTTGGCAAGGTCTTTAATTTCTTCCTTGTTTTAAATTCCCCCAAACTTGAATTCTTTGATTGTTTGCTTTTTCCATGGGGTGTTTCTCTTTTGATTCTTCTAATTGGTACACTTGCTAATATCAATGAAATTTTCTCCCTTCTTGTTGCTATGTTTTAATAAAAATTGAATCTTTCAATTATACATTATTATACTTAGGGTAGGAATTTAAATTGGTTTAATAATAGGGTATGATCAATAAAAAAGGATATAGGCCTTGCGAATTGGTTCAAAAAGTCATCTTTTTAACTTAGTGGTAATAGGCAAATATGAATGTTCAACAAAAGTATGATGCCTTAAATCATCTTCTTTCTAAATGTTAAGCATTTTAAAATTTTTTGCCTCAAAGGAATTCTAATTGTTTCTAGGAATGGCCAAATAAATAACTTTAGATTAAAACATGCCTATATATCATTAAATTTTCACAAAAATTAGTGGTTTTATATTCTAGAAACAGATAGTTAAACCAATGATCATGTTAAGGTTCAAAAATTTAAAATTTAAAAGCTCAAACATACTAGATAAGAAAATCAACTACATTCATTCCACAAATTACTAAATGTGACAACTTTCAAGCCTTGCTTATAATATTCCAACCATGTTAAGCAAAAATTAAAATTTTAGCTAAATTTTGCCTTTCCCTAATTTAATCAACACATTGTCCCCAATGTGTACAAATAAACTTACTTTCCCCAAACTTATTGCAGTTAAACAGAGGAAAAGAAAATAAGAGATGGAGTAAGCATTACCAAAATTGTATTGAAACTACAATTGAAGCTGAGTGAGGACTGTGTCATAGCCTAAAAAGACCAAAACACATTAAAAGAAGACCTACTTAAGATGAAATATTCAAATAAACGAACGTTTAACTAAAGGAAATAATCAAGACAGAACAATCAGTATATGAGAACAAAAATTAAATAGAAAAACACAAAAGAAAACAAAAATCCATCAGGACCTCCGCGTGGCGGAGGAGCAGTGTGGCTGCAATAGCTAAATGACGTCTGGATCTGGACCTTGCAGTGTATCCATGCGAGAGTCGAGGCTCTTCGTGCATATTTCTCGATGATTGAATCTGTCTGCAATCATGATTCCATCCGATAAGGCGTGTGTCAAAAATGTCCATTCGCGAATCATCTCGTGCAAGGATTTTGTCGTGACATGCGCGACGTTCTTGAAAGATGACCAGTGCCGGAAGTACTGCACCAAAGAAGGAACAAAAGGAGGTGGATTACCCTCCTCCATGTCAGCACCACCCGCGTCTTCAGCTTCTCTTCATCCTCAGAAACTTTATCTCGAGCACCTACTACTCGATAGGAATCTCCCACTTCTCAATCAGCCTCATGTGGATCATGACATCTAAGTCTAATCTGAGCCACCCCTTTCCCCCTCCCACACTATCATAGATCATTCTAGCCAGGTCCAGACTCGTACTACGCCAGCAATTTCTTCGCACAAGCATTCCCATCATTGATAGCCCCTATCCGCTTCTATCTACCCTCGCCCATGTTGCATAGCAATACCCACATTTAGCAAATCCCCTAATTAATTCCCACACAAATATAATCATTGAAGCTTATACTCCAATCAACTTCACTCTTCCAAAATAGTGTTAGCAGGGAATGGAATGTATCTCAGTGGCAGATTTTTTATTTTGATGCCTTTGAATACTAGATTATTAATTAATTTCGTCGGTCAAATCTTGCAATGTACGACTTCATTAAAATCTTTAGGTATTTGGATTTTGGAGCATTTTTCAGGGAACAAAAAATATGGCTAACCTCATTCACAGTAAATCAAAGTTCTACCAAAGTAGTCCTGAAAGCCCAAATTTTGCCTCGGGATCGCCAGGCAATAATTCTAATTAAAGAGGAATAAGAACTCAAAATTTTCTAGGGTAAAAGTGCATAAACAGATCTTTCATACCAATAAACTACTCCCATCATACGCCTAAGATTTTCTATCACAGCAATCTATTAAGACCCACTTGCGCTATGCATTTCATCGATAAAAATCTATTCGGTAAAATAGGTCTAAGGATAGTTTATTAACCTCTCTTGCTGGTTCTTGGAAAGCAATATCAAATGGAGAGGAAGCAGGTTGTGGAAGGAGGTGGAACCGTGGATGGAGCAATGGAAGATCGAGCGATTGGCTTTGCTAACTGCAACCATGGATCAGGTTCTTACTACGCTTGTATCGGGAGCATGGTGAAGGAGAATGGCGTGTGAAAATTTGTTTGTAGCGTGTTTGAATTTGAGAGGAAAAGGAGAAAATAGAGAAAATTGGAGAGAAAGGCTTGCGGACCTAGGGCGTGGGGAATGGGAATGAGAGTGGCTTAGGGGCGGCTCTTTAAATAGTGAGCGCGATTTAATGCGCCTGGTCCTGTCGTGGCACAGGGTGCGCCTTGGCAGCGGGCCAAACATGTGCGCGCTAATCTGGCTTTGAGGCGGTTCGCGGCACGGCTTGCTGCTGAAAACACGACTGGGCGTTGCTAAGCCTCTGACTCATAGCGCGAAGTGAAATTTCTCTTCTCTGATGACACAGGCGTGCTTGCCTGACAACGCCCTTTGGGCATTGCTAGCCCTGGCTCTCAAAGTGTTTTTTCTCCTTTCTTGCCGCACGGCTCTGGGGCACACAGTCAGGGCGTGCAAGCTTCTTGAAAAAAAAAAAATTTCCTTTTTGGCACGATGGCAGTGTCTTGGGACCACGTCTGCGTGCTTAGTTGATGTATGTTGCGCACGGGGCGTTGCTACTTAGCACGGAAGGGCGTGCAAGCCTCCTAACTCAAGATAGGATTTTCATTGTGAAGCACGGCCGTGTTGCTGAGCACGGCTTGGGCGTGTCATCCTGGTGATTTGACTATCCTTGAAAGAATTTTGACTAAAACAAAAGAAACAATTATTCGAGAAAATTTGAGAAAATTGTAACAGAAATAATAAAAGTAAAAATGAAAATAATAAGATTAAGAAAGAAAATAACATGGTGTCTCCCACAAGTGCTTTGTTAAACGTCGTTTAAGCTCGACGCAACTTAACCATTTCAGGTCAAACGAGACTGATGTATTTTTGACAGATCAAAATATAGTCATTGATTAAACTTTCAAACGTTGAGCATTAACTTGAAAAACTTTCGATTTAAGAATTACCATCCACTATTTCGATGCCCCATGTGAAAAATTCCTTAAGTTGTGAATGGATCGGACCATCTGAGCGCAACTTATCAGGAAAAACGAGTCTAGGAATTATTAGAGCAGTACCTTTGTTCCTATACTTTAGATTCCTCAGATATATGCTTTATCATGCCATTTTGTGCGATCTTACTAATCGTTAATTTCCTTCGTCACTCATACGTCAAGCATGTGATCGATACTCTTACTCACCTCTCATAGTGAGCACCGTTATTTGAGCGCTAAGTCGCTCCTTGTATTAATTTAAGAAAATTGAATTGCCCAAAATGCCTTATGCCTAAACTCAACAGGAAGATGACAAAGGCCTTACCATTAGACCATTGCCAATTATTGGAGACATACCGATTGTTGTTTTGAATTGCCGTTCTGTAAAGCCCATAAGAGTATCATCGAGCTTTCTTAGACCAGTCCTCCTAGATATCCAACAGTGTCCCAAAATCTCTGATTTCTCTATGGGTGAACTTCTACTTTCACTGTTTTGAGGCATGATACTGAGTGCCTACACGATAAATAAACCACCATATTTTGCAAGAAGGAATCTAAATATTATTGCCACAAATGCTTTACCTCCGTCTGGATTATTGCCCTAGGGTGCCATGACGTGTGCAAAAATATTTCTTTGATTAAAATTCATTACACTTTTGGCATCATTGTTTTGGAAGGGCACAGCTTCTGCCCACTTTTGCACACGTAGTTCTACGCCACTAGAATGTATTGGTTGGAGTAATGATGATGGAAAGGTTTCCCATGAAGTCCAACCCCAAACGTCGAAAATCTCAAACTTCGAGAATGCTAATTAAGGCGCATCTCATGTCGCTTCGAAATGTTACCTAACCTTTACAGCAATCACAAAAAGATGAACAAAGGTAAAAGCCATCTTTAAATAAATTGGCCCATATAAACCGCTTTCCAAGATACGCGCTGGCTGTCTTGCTTGCTCCAAAATGCCTCCACATTTCCATTGAATGTAGAATTTAAGACACTTCCAATTTCTCCTTCCGGTATACATCGCGCGAATAGCTATCACTAACAATATTTGAACAAAAAAGGCCTCCTCCCAATAGTAGTATTTGATATCATGGAAAAACTTTTTCTCTTGTGCATAAGAAAAGTGGTAGGAGGGATTTTGGCCAAAACAAGGTAGCTAACTATATCAGCATACCAGGGAGCCTGTGTGTTTGCCAATTAGTAGAACTTACTCATGGGAAAGTTTTCATTGATTTGTAAATTCTTTGTATCTTCTTCCCCAATTCTAGACCTGCGAAAGGTGCTCGGCCACAAGGTTTCGTTCCCTTTTGTCGTGAAATTTCCATATCAAATTCCTACAATAAAAGCACCAACAAATTAGTCTCGTTTAGCGTCTTCTTTTCTTAGGCAAATATTTGATAGCCAAGTGATCAGTTTAAACTATTTGTTTTGGTTCCAATTAAATAAGCCCTAAAAATTGTTCAAAAAGCAAAAACGATAGCTAGCAGTTCTTTTTCAGTAGTGCATAATTTAATTGTGCACCATTCAATGTGCGACTAGCAAATAAATGACGTGCAAACTTCTTTTCCTTTCTTGCCCAAGAAACAGCTCCAAACAGCATGCATCACTAGCATCACAACATAAGTTCCAAAGGCGAAGAGTTCCAGTCTGGTGGCAATGATCGGGGCTAAGATCAATTCCTTCTAACCTGGTAAAAAGCATTTAAACCTC